TTCTTTGCTGTGTCAAGACGCAGGAGCAACTCAAGCAAGGCACCTCCTGACATATATCAGTATTGCTTAAGGAAAGCCATCTTTGCATTCAAAGGCTCCAACAGTTGAAGATGGAGGAGAAGGGAAAGGAAGAGATTTTGAAGATGGTGACTTAGAATAATGATAAGGTTTCTGCAATATCAAACCTCTGTCCACAGCTCATTTATAGTCCAGAACAACATTTTCAAAAGGCAGTTACTTGGATAGGACACAATTGCTATCTGCAGATCCTGTTCAGAATTACCTGGAATAACCCTTCTCATTTCACCATACTTGCATTTACTACCACCTGTATGAAATCAACAGGCTATTAATTTTCTTTCTGACTTTTATACTTCTGCTCTGAAGCCTAGAGCAGCTTCCCCAGAGTTTTGTCAAAGAGTTCCCTTCTTTGACTTAACCCTGGATCAGGGACCCTGTTTGTATCTTATTTTATTTTTTGCCCTGTGGCATGGCCAAAGTATAGAAACAAAGAACCTTTTCTACCCATCAGATCTTGTTTCTACAAAAACCAGTAGGACTCTCCTTTTTTTAATCATCCCAGCGTTAGCAAAGAGAGTACAGTGAATTTGTAGACTCCTCTTACCCCACCATGTTAATTATCGCTAGTATAAAAAGAAGGTCAAGGAGAGGAACTCTACTAAATAGGGCGAAGTTGGCATGCATGACTCCTAAAGTGAAGAAGATAGAAATGAACTTTGCTGGAACTTTTTATAAAAAAAAAGTCTTCAAAAAGCTACTAGATTAAAGCTCCTACATCTTTTTTTTTTTTAAATTCTCATGGATTCTCAAAGTTAAAATGGTTGGAAGGAAGCCCAGATAATTTTTTTTATCCTAGTCACTGAGAGGCTCAAAGGTTTTTAAGTCCTGCCCCCATGGTGAATTGCAGACGATATGGGAACATAGAAGAACCTGACGCATAGGTGTTCAGGCCATTGTTACAAAGAGGAAGCCAAATAAAATAGCTCTCTGTGTAGGTCAATGACCTGCTCTTTGTCAGGAAAAAATTAAGGATGACCTTATATCCATTACTTGAAAAAAAAACCAGGGAAAAGTAGTTTCCCCTAATCAAAGAGAACATGTTTGTTACCTAAAGCTTGACCTCCTCACTATCTAACTTTAGCATAAGTCTCTGCTATTGAAAAGCAGGGGTTGAATTCTCAAAACCCATCTAAAACATCTGTTAATTTTTGATCCTTCCAAGTGGATGGCTTAGTTATTGTAGAGGCATCCAGTCGCGCTGCTGTAGTGAAGGGTCCAATGACATTTCCATTATAAAGCCACAATATTCAAGGGCTGAAAGTTGGCTCAGCTCTTTTAACATTGCATCTGTGATTTATATGGGCTCAACCATGGCAGCTGAACTGCTCCCCCCCGCCCCCATTTGTACAAAGCATCAAAATATGGTGTGAATCAACAAAGGTGTCTTCACAGTGAGACAGACACTCAGAGAGACAGGCTCAAAGTTTTGCTCACATGGGATGAGAAAGGATTCCTACCCTCCCCCTCAGCTTTGAAACCCAAGATGTCAGCATCAGATTTTCCCCAATATCCACTAAGATAAGTGCCTACATTATAAGGAGAAGTCTACATCTAAACTGGTGTCTTTCCTCTTACTGGTGATGCCACTGGAAATGACTGATAGTATTTTGATGTATTGCAAACAAATGCTTCTCTGAACATTGGTTGAGCCAAGTAATCAACATCTTTTTGTGATCAAAAATACTCAGGAATGTGGTATTACCAAGACATGTGTGTGTTTTTCTTTCGCATTGGTGATGAAACAGCAGCTTCATGTGTGGGTTACATGGTAACCCTGCTCTAGTAATTTTGTTAGAAGAGCAGCAGCTGCTGTTGCAGGGGACTGGACTGGACTGGACTCACCTAAAGGCTACAGCAGGGGAGCTTCATATGTTAAGAACATGTTGGGCAATAAAAGTCATATTACCCACTGGTAGTTAACGGTGCATTTTATTGTGCATTTTTCCACAGTTTAATACTATAGATTCTACAATACTTACTAGGAAAAGTTTAGCTCACTGTAGTCATCAGCACATCAATGCAATTTCCTTTAATGCTTTCCAGCAATTACTTTATTACCTGCTGCCTGACAACACATTGCACTACAGTGATTAGAGCGATGAGCTTAAATTTCAAATCCCTGCTCTGCTGACGGTGTGACCTAACGAGGACCATGTATGCTACTCGCAATTCACTGGGATACTGAGGAAACCTGGGATTAAAATGTAATGCATAAACACCAGTTCCCCATACAGCATAAGGTTATAGCTCCAACACCTGCACACTCAATTAACAAGGAAATGAAGGAGATTCCTCAGTTCGGAAGAGTGCTTCCCTTCTATGCGTGAGAGAGAGGGAAGGCGTCTCTCAGGAGAGTGCTTGGTATCTAGTTTTTGTAAGTACTTAAAAATAATTGTGATCCAGAAGAACATGAGCTGGCTGAGCTTCTAAAGGCAAAACCCCCTATTGTTTCTTAATTTATTTGTGTCATCAGAACAATGATAGCCAATGGATCACTGTGGAAAGCACCCTCTCGGGAAGTATCAAAGGACTGTTACATTGGGGGTTTAGGGAGTAATGATTTAAAAAATCCTTTTACATGCAGCATTCCGCTAAAATTGTAGCAGCATCTGAGATTCGTGGAAGCACATATCATTTGGTAACACTCTCTCAAAGGGAATACTTGTTAAACATCAAAATATTTACTTACCTCATCCACAACTGGATGCCTTTCTGATCAGTGCATTTGGACTCACTCCAGCAGGCAAACAGTGCTGGAGGACACCGTGCAGAAAACACTGTGATCCCAAGTGGAGCAGTATACCCACGTTTACCTTTACCTTTGTATATGTTGCTAATGATGCACATGGAGGTAGAAATGCATGGATCCACCAGAACCTCTGAGAAGACTGCTATCAATATAAACTATGGTAACTGAACCTGGGGATGCCTTTTAGATATCCTCTGTCACCTAGTTAAGGAAATCAGCAGTACTTAACCATCTGACACAGTGGCTAAGAAGGCAAATGCCACCCTTGGATGTATAGCCAGAAATTTGGCTTCCGGATCGAGAGAGGTGTCAGCACCTCTTGTGTGCACATGCTCTGGCGAGATTCTCAGGTGTGCGAGAGAAGTGGCCTGTTTTGGTGGGACTGATCGCTCAGACTCTGAGGATGATGTGGAGCTGGCTGAACCAGACGAGGCTCAGGGCTCAAACTCTGATAACGGAATTGTTGGTGCAACAGACAGGCCTGCACCTGCAGACTCGCCTCGCCGTGCCAGTCCGAGCCTGCCCTGGATGAAAGTAGCTCAAGGACACCCATGGGGCCCAGTCTCCGCACCTGTGGGAATGAAGCAGAAGGACGGGTGGGAGGAGACTTGGGAATGGGCAGTCTCTTGAATGGAGAGCGCCAGCCTCCTGAAAAGGTGGACCTGAGGGCCTGTCGCCACAGCTGCGGGCTGGCCCAGCTAGGCGCTCAGGGTGCAGAACGCAGCACACCCGGTTCCACAGCGCCCCTCCTTCCAGAGACAGGCCCTGAAGGGTTCATAAGCAAAGCTTTGGGTAAAGGGGGACAGAGAGGGTTCAACATCTCTTTGTGTATGCTCAGAGGCTTCTGAATGCTTAGAGTCTTCTTTATAGAATAAAGATGCTTACAAGAAGTGCTGGAGAGACTGTCTTACTTGCGAGGGAATGCCTAGGCAGTACTGCTCTATAGGACTGTATCCAGTTCTGGGCTCCACGTTATAGGAGAGACATAGCTAAGTTAGAATAAGTTCAGTGCAGGGTCACAAGGATGATAGCCAGATTGTGGGAGATGTCATATGAGGTGAGACTGAGGGAACTGGGTCTTTTCAGCCTGGAGAAGAGGAGACTCTGAAAGGATCTGTTAGGACATATATCCAGGGCTTTTTTTTGTCATAGAACGCACTGGAACGGTGTTCCGGTACCTTTTTTTCAATGGATTTTACGAAGTGATTTTGGCGTAGCAGATCAGCAACAAACATCATTAACATAATGCCTGCAGGCTGCTATTGTGTCTGAGAGATAGCTGCTTAGGCGCTGCTCCGCTGCTTGGCTTGGGATTGGTGTGTGTGCTTACTGCCGGCGGCAACGTGAGTTCCAGCACTTTTTTTTTTTTACAAAGAAAGCACTGCATATAGGTATGTGAAGGGGCCCATGGCCTGTTTTCCTCTGTGGTGGAGGAAAGGACTGTGTTCAGTGGAGCAAAGCTCAAGGAACCAGACTTCAGGTTGGATGTCAGGAAGTACTTCCTGTCAGTTAGGACCCCTAGGATATGGAATGGGCTTCCAAGGTAGGTGGTTGAGGCCAAATCAGTGAAAGTGTTCAAGGAATGATTGGACAACCACATGTTGGGGATTGAGTGGAGCTCACTGGAGTTGGGAGTCAGACTTGATGGCCCATGAGACCCCTTCTGACTTGCTTTGTTTCTATATGAGTTTTATATTAATTAAATCTTCCAACAAATGTGTGCATGGAGCAACAATGCAAGTGAAAATGATAACTGTACAGCAAAACAGTATTCCTTTGTTTGTGAATGATGGTGACATTTTAGCAGAGGTATATGGTCCTGCATGATAAAGAAGGTGGATGCTTTTTTTAATATGGACTCTGTTGCATTTTTTAAAAAATTAAATCTTCTGCCTAATTAATCAAGAGGCACCTTTTTAATCAATCTAACTACTGCAGGCCTATCAATCACACTTAGCACCATGGATCTTTAACTTGGCAGTAGGCTTAAGCGATAGTTTAAGGACGTTCTTTCCTCACAGATTTGCTAAATTTGCATGACTGCAGTACACTATTGCACCAGAATAAAACCCAGCGTTTTTGCACATAGAGCCAATCCTTAGAACACGCAGAGTTGCCCTTTGCAGAGGCTATGGGGGGACAGTAACCTTGGCCAGGTTTTGCTCCTTACCCTAATGTGTTCTGGCTGGTGCAGAGGTGCAGAGGTGCGTGTCCATCCTCATCCAGAAGGTTGGGATTGGCCTTGTGTTCCAGCAGCAGCTCCGCGCAGTCTGTGTGCCCCCCAGTACAGGCTTCATGCAGGGCACTCCGTCCTCCAGGGGCTGCGTTGGGGTCTGCCCGCCGGAATAGCAAGTGACGAAGACAGGCAGTATGTCCGTGGCTGGCTGAGATGCAAAGTGGGTTGGTCAGAGTCCTCTTGTATTCCAGGGACCAAAGGCCTGGGGCAGACAGAATTGGGGGTTGGTGGAAGAGAAGCAATAAAATAAAATAAAAGGATGGGCTTGTGCTTGAATCGGGGCAGAAGAGTCTTAAACCTACAGTAAGCGTCCTGCCCCGAGCTTATGAGGTTAATGCAGACATGAAACCAGTTGCTAGCTGATGTGGAGTGAGGAATCTATTGCAGCTTTGGAGCTTTGTTGAGCCAATAAAAGCTGACTATTATGGTATGGTTGCACTTATACCCAACTCTTCCTTCGAGCAGCTTAGAGACAGTTCCCAGGGAGGCCTCTTAGTGAGGCAGCTTCCTGGGCCAGAGGCGACCAGTCCCAGGGATATGACTGGAGCACATGCCCTCATCTGCTGCAGATGCGCTGTGCCGCCTGCAGAGGCTACTACTGGGCTGCTCACAAGGGGGTTTCGGTCTCTGCTCCAGATTTCTCACCTCTGCAGCAGAGACCAGGCAGCACCGGTCACACAGGTTTCCTCACATACCACAATCTCACCCCCTGCATGTTGTCTCATGAGGCCACAGAAAAGTTCCTGCTTTAATTCAGAAGCAATGTCTTCTACATTTCTACAGGTTGGACACCCTGGCCAAGCATTCTGGTTGCCTAAGTAAGGATGCTTCAGCTTGCACTTGAAATAACTGTCTGGCCCCATTTGGGCATTTAACCCAAGTATGTTGCTCCTTAAGTGAGGAACCCCGTGGTTCCTGGGCAAGCATCCCAGGGAAGATCGGACAGGCTGGATTCCACCCTCCCACGTCAGAGGTAGCAAAGGGAGCTGGGTTGACACCCCTTCCCCATCCCTCTCAGATGGAAAGAACTGCACCAGCTGCACCCCTGAGGCTGGAAACGTGACCTCAGAGAGGGGAAGGGACTGTTCCGGTGGGCGGGGGCGAAAGGAGACTTGCGGGAGGAGCCATCCTGAGCCTCTGCCAGCCCCTTCTTTCCTCAGAAGTGCCCTGCCGGATGGGTTCAGAAGCCCGTCTAGGGAAATCTGCAGTGCAGGGGAACAGGGAAAAATGATGGCTATGTCGTGCCTCTAGAAGGCACATGGGGTGAGCAAGGAAGAATAGAATTGCAGTTAATCCAAGAGGCTGAATGTCCCGGTTCTCCCATTTGGTGATTGGGTCTGCACAGCACAACAACCAACCACTGTCATTGGCTGGTTGCTATGTCATGTCAAGCCACGCAGTTACGTCCCTATCATGGGTGGCAACAGTGGCCTGTTGTAGAGTTTGCCTGGCCAAAAGACTTGTGTCATCTAAGCCCAGATGACGTGAGCCATCAAGCTCAACTACAAGCAGCAGTCCCTGTCCCCCCTCTACTCTTGCTGAACTGCTACTTGGTGGCTGCCATGGCTGACTGCCCCCCCCCAACTTGGGGGTGGCTGAAAAAAGCTTCACGCTGCTCCTGCACCACAGCCAAGCCTACCCTTTCATGGATGCCAGATTTGTCCACCAAGATGTCCAAGAAGAACCTTGGAGGGACTGCCCATGGCCACCCCCCTTCTTTCTTTGTATTTTGGGAAAAATAATGTGCTCACACAATAACTGCACCTTGTTTTGTTGTTGCGTGCTCTCAGGTTTCTCCAACTTATCACAATCCTATGAATGAGTGCATTCTACAATGTCCTGTCCATGCTGGCCCTGCTCAGCTCTTGCATACTCAAGACTATGATTGCAATGTTTCTCCCCAGAATCTGGCCTTCTTCTGTTCATCAGACTTCTTCCCACATGAAGCCCTTGCTTAAGAAGTGATCCATACTGAAAGGAACTTTGCAGAAGCTCACGGAAAGCCAGTTGTGCAACTGGCAACCTTCTTCTGCAGCACACGCAGCACAAAGAAATTCTGCAAGTAACATGCATCGAAGAAGGATGCCAGTTCTGCAGCGTTCACATGATTTCACTTCCTGGTGGGTGCCCACATGAGCACTTGGTGCAATCAGACTTGTGGTTGCAGGAAAGTAGGCTGGAATCAGAGGAGCTGAGCCCAGGGAATCCAGCAAAGTCCTATGCCCAAAATGGACTCCTCAACCATTCCTACTCAAGACTGTGGCTGATGGAATCGATCCATTTCACACTGATCTTCCTCCTCCCCCTCCCCCTCCTTCTTCCGTGTTCAACTTTCCCTAGCATTTTCGTCTTCCTCCAGTGAGTCTTGCCTTCTTATAGCGCACCCGAATACAACAGCTTCAGTTTTATCATTTTTGCTTCCAGGCCAAGGTCTGGCTTGATTTGATCTAGGACCCACTTGTTCGTGCTTCTTTTGGTCCAGAGTATTCACAAAGCTCTCTTCCAGCATCACACATCAATTTCCTTCCTGTCAGTTCTCTTCACTGTCCAGCTCTTACACCCAGGCATAGTGATCTGGAATGCTATTTTCTGTTCAAGCTCAAACCACCTGATTTGTGAAAGTTGCACTGACAGGCTTAGTGGAGATGCCCCCTTCCTGCACGGTGCCCCCCTGGGCTGCAGGTGCGTATCCCCCTCACAAGCCCTGCACAGTCTCAGAAGGCAACTTGCCCGAGGCTCGCAAAGCCCCAGAGTGCCGTTTGTGAGCAGGGTGTGCTTTCTCCTGTCTGCAGACTGAACCTCTAGTTTTCTGTGGAGAGATCAGTGTTGCCAGTGCCCTCCAGATAACATCTGGGGGCACTGAAAACAAGCAAGCATTCCCAGTTCTAAGATGGACCTCCCTGCTTGACAACTGACAGTTCCCGAATTCTTTTTCTGAAGTGCATTTTGTGAAAGGGCAAACATTTGGAGAAGAAAAACACTGGGAGAGGCAGAGTCTCTGTTCCTGTGCTCTTCCTGACCAAACAGAAATTATTAACCCTTGCCGGCTGGGAACCACAAAAGCTGGCTGGACAGCTGGTTTCTGTGATCTTCAAAAAAAGGAGAGGGAAGGTCAAGCTAACATTGTGGCAGGGTGGGAGGGGGGACTTGTTCCTGCCATGGTGTCCCCTGTGGTATCACCGGGGGAATGAGAAGGAAGGAGAAGAGGAAGGGCGTGAAGTCATCTGTTGGGCGCATCATGGATGCGACCTAATCATGGCAAATTGCCATGAGGAGTGGCATGATGTGCAAACCCTCCCACTGTGTGGAAAGGGGACTGCCGAGCAAGCTCCAGCAACTTGCTTTTGGAAAGGATTATTGGCCCCTCCGTACTCAACCGTTTTGATACGCTCTTTAGTTCTGCATGTATGGCCAAGTGCCTTCCCTGACTATCACAGTGGCATGCACACTTTCCCCTCTAAGGACATGCTGCGGGTAGAAGAAGGTTCTTGAAGGTTGTTAATCCCAATGGGCGGTGGTGGCGGCGGCAGCAATAATGTCCCTGGCGAATATACCTCAGCCATCTGGATTTCACGTGGCGAGCAGAGATGCTTTCTTGTTTTGAAGGGCAAATTGATTTAATGCTTCCATTCCTTCATTCTTCTTCAGATGCTCTCTGCCTTTTGAGGAGAGAACTGGAATGGGGTGGCTATTTTGTTCTGCCTGGAGAACTGAGCAGTGTAGAAAAAGTTCAGTATAATATCAAGGCGTGCAGCTATAGTTCAAGTAATATTGGGATTGCAAGACTCTGCCTCACCCATGGAGAAAATGAACAAATGGCAGGATGATCTGTGCAGCAGAACAGAAGCCTGCTTCTTTCCTATGCTCACAGTTTCTACCATCCCATGCACCTCCTTAGGCTGAAAATGGAAAACAGGCAGGCTGCAGTGGGAAGGGAAGTGCCCCCGCAGACAGTCCGGGGCCATGTCAGACAGTTGTTCAGCTGGCCACGAGCACTTGCAGAGCTGTGCTAGGAAAAACCTCGGCTTTCACCGTGTGAGCCAGCAGCAAAAGAGGGAAGGGAGGAGCTGGGAGGAACGCAGGGAACCAAGACGCTGACCACCCAGTCGCCGTGACAGCACAGATGCAGCCCTGTCGGCTGCAGAGGAAGGTATCAGAGGAGTACTCACTCACTTGCCTGGTGACGGAAATGTGCTTCCGAATCTCCCAAGACGGGAGAGTCCTGCAAGACCTGGGAGAGGAAACAGGCCAGGTGTGTCACCTAGGAGACAGCATGCAAGGGCTACAGCTGGCTGTGGCCAGAAGGATCCCCCTCCCCAATGTGTGGCTGAGCAACTGGAAGGCAGCGACAGAGGAAGAGGAAAGCGGGACACTATTCAGCCCCTTCCATTCATTGGAAGCCATAGCAGGGCCCCACGTCAAGCCTCCTGATGCACCTCTTGCTGCTGGAGCCCCCTGTGATCACTTCCCAGCAAGGCGGAAGGCATCTGGCAATCCTGCCGCACGTGGTCGTGAAGATGGGCCGGCATGCCACAGTTTCCACTTGCCCTCTCCTAGAACTACGGCCTGCAGTGACACAGCCAGACACCTCGCACGCGGGCTGCTGATGGCATGTCCTGCTTGCACAGCCCACACGACGAGAGCCAAGGGCTCAGAAATGTGATGGAAGCCGCTGGTGTGTGGGTGTGGAGGAAAGCAATGAGCTGCCTCTTGCATGTAGAGACCAGGACCTCTGGACAGGGTTGCCGTTGCTACAAGCAGTGAAAGCAGCAAAAGCAAACAAGGCACCTTTTAACAGACATCACCCCCTTTAGCTTGGATTAGTAAATACCTGCTTAACTTTCAAACTGGTCTTTGCAACCCGGAGTACCTGACAGTCCGAAAGCAGCGTGGCTCTTCACTTGCCATTCCAGCTCATTTGTGTTGATCTCAAAGACCACACCAGTATCTGCACAGTACTGGTCCATTAGGGCTTGGAGCACCTTGAGGTTTCCTGCGAGCAGAGCTTCATAGTATTTGTCCACAGGGACAGGGCGCTTCCAAGGGAACTCAGGTCCCTCTTTTTCAAAGATCTGCCGCTTCTCTACAGCAGGTCCTGGCAGCGTGAAGGAGTGTTCATCCATTATACTGAGCTGCAGCTTATTGTAGTCCTAGTCCAAATTCCTATTCTGCAGATTGGTGGGGTTTTATAGTTAGGGTTATTTTGATGGTCTTGTTTGCATGATCCAATTATATTCTAGTTAGGGCTCTGGCACTGCCTATCTGGCAATAATGGTTACTTGATCCAATTAAAGTCATGTGGGCTGCTGGCTACAACAATAAGTGCTTTACAACTGCCTGCTTACATGTAGTGTGTGTGTGTGTGTGTCTCCGGACAAGGTCAAATATTCAGAAGGCTGTTTTATGATGGCATTTCTGAATAAAACTATTATAATTCCAAGCCGCGGTTTGGCAAGCAAACACAGTGAGCTTTTCCTGTCATTGAAGTTAGTCTATTTAAATCCAGATGTCAGGGATAAATAGCTTGCATGCTAACACGTTTTGAATTTTTATACTGTGCAACCATTTGAACCACAATTCTTTATTGCATTTGATATCTTTATTGCATTCCGATATAAACACATTTTGCATCTAGTAAAATCAAATCTGCTAGCACTTTTTCCTTGCTGCAGGAAATGCAAGAGGCTGAAGACAAGAAACCCTCACACAATTCATTGTTCCTTACATTTATACCAAAGCTTTTATTGTGTTTGTATTGTTGTCTAGACTATGGAAGTGGGATTTGTCCCTAAACTGGCTGAAGGACACACAAGGGAGAAGCCAAAAATAGGAGATGCATACCTCTTACACTCTGCCTACAGCCCACCAACAAAACTATCCATGCTGAAGGGGTATCTGATATCACAGCCTATTTATTACCACAGGGTGACTTTTGTCAATAGTGTGTTTCATGAAAAATATCTCAACTTATTCCCTCAGTAGTTCATTCAGAAATCCAGTAATAAAAAACTAATAAATAGAATAAAAAGAGCTAGAACTGATTAAAAAGGCTGCCTGAATGATGGCAAGGGCACTTCTTAATGCAGGAAAGAAGTGGGGGCTGCATAGCTGCTGTCAGCTTTTTTCCATTGAATCTACTATTATAAGATTTTGTTGTGTGTTTTTACAGCATTCTGCTGCTTTTTATTGGCTGTCCTAAACGCCAGGGTATGTGCTTGGCTTTTGCTTCCTTTAGAATCAAGAGTTCAAGTATGGCATGGTCACTTTCCCCCAGAGTTCCTGTAATTGCCACTTTGTCCACTAGCTCTTCCCTGTTGGTTAGCACCAAGTCAAGGAGAGTCATTCCTCTTGTTCTTCCTCCACTTTCTGTTGGAGGAGGTTTTCAGCAATGCACGTTAGGAAAGTCTTGGAGCAACTGTGTTTGACAGAGCTTGTCTTCCAACAAATATCATGGAAATTAAAGTCCCCCATAATGATGACATTGTGCCTCCTTGAAACACTGGCAATTCACTTTTCAAAAGTTTCATCCTCGTCTTCTCCTTGACTGGGTGGTCAGTAACAGACTCTAGCCACTGCGTCCCTTTTCTTCCTTGCTCCATTTATATGAATCCAGATGTTCCTGATGAGGCTACTGAGCTCCTCCTCCTGTATTTTTCCCCTCCTGTCCTTTCTAAATAAGACATACCCCTTTATGTTTACATTCCAATTCTGCCTTTTGTCCCACCATGTTCTTGTGATCCCCACCATTTCATACCCTTCTATTCCCAGGAGAGCCTCAAGCTCTTCCCTCTTGTTTCCCATGCTTCTAACGTTGGTGTACATGCATCTCTGCTCCTTCCCATGACCCCCTTTCTTCCGGTCCCCCAGCCTCCTCGTTCTTCCTTTCTTCCCTGGTACCAGAACCCTCCTTGTAGTAATCCCACCAGCCCTTACATTACTTCCAGCGCCCTGGCCCTGAAATCCTGATCCTCTCCCCTCACTTATCCAATCGGGAGAGGTTTTTTTTGGGGGGGGATAATCCCCCCCAGTTCAGTTTAAAGTCTTCTGGTCAAAGATCACTAGCAAACTTTTGAAGGACCTTTTCCCCATCCTCATGAGGTGCACCCCCTCTTGCCAAAAGTCAATTGACAAGAAACCAGGTGCCATGGTCAAGGAACCCAAAGCGTTCCGTCTGGCACCACACCCTGAGCCGGTCATTCACCTCAGCAACCCTCCTTTCCCTGGCTGGCCCAAATCCCCAGACTGGTAGGATAGAGGAAAAGGCCACTTGGGTCTTTAGGTCTCTGAGTTTCTTTCCCAGAGCTTCAAAGTCTCTAGTGAGCCCGCCTATCCCCAGCCTGGATGTGTTGTTTGTCCCCATGTGGATCACAAGAAGTGGCTGGTGACTCCTGGAGGGAAGAAGATGCTCTACTCTGTCCATCACATGCCAGATGCCTGTCCCCGGCAGGCAACAGACCTTCTTTACCTCAAGGCCAGGGCCACCACAGTGCCCCTCAGCAGGGAGTCACCCGCCACCGTCTCTTCCTGTGCCTTCACTATTGCTTCTCCTGCAGTGGCCCCCTGGCTGCATCTGGTCCCAGGGTGGGGATCCCGGACAGGTTGGTCCCCCAAGTCCTCATCAGCCCCAGCCTCCCCAAGCAGAGAGAACCTGTTTCTCAGCTCCAGATTGGTGCCAGGAGAAGGAGGAGGCCATGCCGTGGGTGACATGCCTCCCTGTCTCCCTGGCTGTTCCTCACGGCTCCCCTCCCTCAACCCTCTGTCTGGAGGGGGGCTGCTCCCGGGGGGCCTGGAGAGGTCTCGGCCCTCAGACCCCTCACCTCCTCCTCTGGGAGGGTCACCAGCTTGCACTGAGGGCAAGTGTATCCCTGCCTCTCGTGAGGGAGAAGGGCGAACATGTCGCAGCTGTCACAGCGGACAGCAACACCTGTGATTCCCGCCAAGGCCATCTCCTGGCCTGACACTGGGAACCCCTCAGAGACCCTGCCTTCTTCCCCTGCCTTGTCTGTCCTGCCCTACTCCTCACTCGCCCAGTTCTCCCTGACAAAAACCCACACACAAACAAGGACAAAATAAAAATTTAATTAAAAAAAGAATTTAAAAAAGAATAAAGAGATAGATAAAGATAAAGCCTTGCCCCCAGGGAAGGGAGTCCCCAGGCTGCCCAGGCCACAGCTAAGGAACGCAGACAAGGGACGATGCCTTATAAGCCTCTCAGGCTGGTGTCCCCGCCCCTCTGCTTCCTCCTGGCCTCTCTGGCCTCACCTCCCTTGCTCTCCACTGCTCCTGCCCCCCACTCCTCTGCCCAGCTCCTACCTTGCTCTCCCCAGTTCCCTCTGCACACTCTCCCAGTCTCTGCTGCTCCACTGCTTTGCCAAGAGCCAAAATTACCTTGCACTTGTTGCTTGTGTAGACCATGTTAACCTCAGGCAAGAAAATCAATGTTGCACAGATACAGGACACCACCATGGAGGAGTGCACTCGGTCCATACATTCTGCTACCTTTTGATTCTTCCTTGCTTAGCCTTGAAGGTTAATAACAGAATCCTACCAGTAAAGGAAGCAAGCAAAGATTAAGGCAGGGGGAGTGACTAGTTAAGGCGACTGGTCACATTTTCAGGGCCAAAACCAAATTCCCCCTGCCTTAGGAAATGTGACCAGTTGTATGCGTTTACATTTATTTATGAGTAGAAGAATTCTAGCAAATTTTCCTATACTTTAATTTCAGTCTCTTGGATGGAGGCTAAACACCAGCAGCCAAGCCTTTTTCAATTATATTATTCATAGCCTTCATTCCAGGGCTCCTCTACAAAAGGGTTTAAAGCCCTGTTTTACTGAGGTTCCTTCTTCCATTTTTGTTGTTGGAAGAAAAGTGCAATCCTTTCACATAGGTTTTTTCTCCCAGGATTTGTATTCCTCAGCTTTTCGATATATTCTATTAACCAAGCACAAGCTGGCGCTGTGGTATAGCTGCAATATAGCAGATCTATGGTAATACAGGAGGCTCTTGTTCTGGCTTGTGGCCATTTAAAATTTAATGTCAGACCTTCCTTACACAGAAGAAACTGCCCTCCCCCAAAAAACCCCAAAACACAGCAAAACAAAACAAAAACAAACAAAAAACAAAAATGACCCTCCACTCCCAAAAAAAAAAAAAAATGTGGAAAATACAGGAGAAGCTCTGAATGGTGTCTTGAAACATCCTTGCAAACTTCTGTGAGTGAGGGATCACGAGTACCCAACATAGGATTCAGGGAGAGAAGCACCTAGTTGTAAATTTATAAGGTTGTTTGGCAATAGGATTTCTCTGGACATCATTGTCTGAAATAAAAAGTTGAATATTCATGCTTGCTCAAGTATTACTTTTCTCTTGTTGAAATCACAATCTTTTTTGCTTTGCCAAAATGGCCACATGTGCTTTAGATCAGTGGTTTTCAACCTTTCCACAATGGGAACCAGCAAAAGCAGGAAAACCACCTCGGGGACTGCTGAGGCAGAAACAAAAAGCACAGAATACATAATACACTATTCTGTGTATTAGTTTCCAAGCACAATAAGAGAAAAAAAATTCTCCAAAACAATCAGAAATCGAGCAACAAAAACACCAACAAAAATAACAGAATACTGAAATTGACACAGCATGGCTCCAAGCTGGCTCCCACCGAGTTGTCTCTTCCTTCCCCAGCCCCCAAACCAGTGCACCCCCCACTATCATGATGCCAACTGAGGAAGAGGTGGTGGAGCACAGCCAGCCCCTGTGCCAGTCTGTGTGAGAGGCATGTGGCCCTGCCACGGACTGGCAGGACATTTCCTGCAGACCGGCGCCATTCCCTGGACTGGTGGTTGAAAACCACTGCTTTAGACAGTGGCTATCAAAATCAACCTCCAGGTGGAGCAGGTGTGTTGCTGTCTAGAGAGAGATGGGGGTCCCCATCTATGTATGTGTGCATCTGCAATGTATCCTGAGCATGGAGAGCAGGTGCAAAGAGCTTGCCAGCCCTCTGCACCAAGGAGCACCACTCTAACCAGTGACCTGCGGCTGAATTGGCTTGGGCTGCTGCGTGGCGAAATGGTGGCTGTACCACTAGGCACAGGTAGCAAGCTGGCCTGGAAGCTCTGTGGCATT